AGCAGAACACACATCAGAACCTACAGCAGAACACACATCAGAACGTACAGCAGAACACACATCAGAACACAGAGCAAAACACACAGCAGAACGTACAGCAGAACCTACAGCAGAACTCACAGCAGAACACACAGCAGAACACACAGCAGAACCTACGGCAGAACCTACAGCAGACCCTACAGCAGAACCCACAGCAGAACTCACAGCAGAACCTACAGCAGAACCCACAGCAGAACCCACAGCAGAACCTACAGCAGAACACACACATACCTGTATATATACAGACAGACAGAGTGGGTAGAAACACAAGAGAGGAACCGTGTGGAAGCATGGCTGTGGCCGACAGGAGAACGCCTCTCGCCGTGTCCAGCTCGTGTTTATTGAGGTTCACGGCCTCCTCGGAGCTGCATAGGTGGGGCTGGTCTCACCTTCCTCCTCCTCTTCATTTCTGTGTTTTGCAGATGGACATGGAGGCGGCAGACGTCCTCAACGAGCTGCAGGTGAAGCTCAGCACCATCCTGGACAACTTCAGCATCATGTTTGCTAAAAGGTGAAGTAACTAAACCAAGTCTGAAACAAGGTTGATTTTTTTATTCTAAGCCGGTCCCTTCTCTGCTGTCTGCAGCTTCCAGAACCGGATCAGCGGCTGCATGCGTCAGATGGCAGAGATCCTGTCCCAGATGAAAGGTCCACCCAACCCCAGCTCGGCTGAGGCAGACGCTGACGCTGCGCTCAGGCCCCTCATGGAGGTTCTGGACAGAAAGTAAGCTGCACAGATTTAACTCCCACCCTGAGCATCCAGAGACTTGCTCCAAGTGCTTTAGCATTTTTCTGGTGTTTCCAGCCTGAGCGTCTTTGCCGACGTCTGTGAGAAAACAGTGCTGAAGAGGATCCTGAAGGATCTGTGGAAAACTGTCCTGAGCAGCCTGGAGAAGACCGTCGTCCTTCCTCAGAGCAACGACAGCCTGGTGAGAGCAGAACCAGAATCCTCTGCAACACTCCTCACCAGCACACAAACAGAACTCTACTGAACTAGAGTCAGACATGACGACCCGATGAGGGGGGATTCTGTTAGAGAGGAGGGTCCAAGATCACTGAAGGTCAAAAATCACTGAGGATTCTCAGATGGTCCTCCTTGTTTAGGTTTCTTCTGACACTCTGAACTCCAGGAGTTTAGAGTGTCAGAAGAAACCTAAACAAGAAGGACCATCAGCCTAACAATGGATCATTAGCACCTGATGGCTGTTTACTGTTCACAGAGGGCTGAGTGATACTAGCAATCACAGCATTGTAAGAGGGGGACAGTTGAACCTGGAGGCTCCACCCCTGTTTAATGATGGACGATTTCTTTTCACAAAGATGGCCTCCTTTACTCCTCTCTCAAACCATCGTTCCTCTCTGTCCAGGATGTGAACATCTTCATCCCTGAAAGAGTGACCTCTGACCTGGAGATGAGTGTAGACCTCAGAGTCCTGGCCTGATGATGTTGATCTTCTGTGCTGGTCCATCCTTTTGGCCAGTGGCTGTTTAGTTTCCCTGATGTAAGACTGATCACCCTCCTGACACTGAACAGCATACACAACATTGCTCTGTTTGTGCCGGGGGACTGGATCTTTGGGATGAACCTGTCTTTAATGTATTTTGGGGTTTAAAAGCCACTGGGACGTTATGTTTAGAAAATAAACGTCTCAGTTTCTCTGATACTCCCTCAACATATGGAATGACCACTGGTCTGGGTCTGGGTTCCTCCTTTTCACCTGATGGCTGACTGGAGTCCTGTTTGGGTTTCTTCTCTGCTTTCAGGAAGGCCCAGTTAGATTATCCACATTGCTCTAGAGCCTGTCTTGTGTAGGATTTCTCCTTCTGCCTGGCTCCTGAGCTAGTGGGGACGCTGTCTGCTCTGTGGTACAGAGTCCTGATGACTCCTAACTTGTGCTCCAAAGGGTGATGGGAGTCAAACTGCAAATACTGGTCTGTGTGGGTGGGTTTGCGGTACACCTCAGTTTGCAAATGTCCTCTATCAGAGACTGAGACCTCACAGTCCAAGAAAGCCAACCTGCCATTTTTTACATCTTCTCGTGTGAACTTGATGTATTTATCCACAGAGTTGATGTGGTCAGTAAAATGTTGGACTTCCTGAGATTTAATTTTAACCCAGGTGTCGTCAACATACCTGAACCAATGACTTGGTGGTGTCCCTGAAAAGGACGTCAAGGCTCTCTTTTCTACCTCCTCCATGTACAGGTTGGCAACAATAGGAGAAACTGGAGACCCCATAGCACACCCATGTTTCTGCCTATAATATTGCTCCCCATATGTGAAGTAGGTTGACTGCAGGCACAGTTTCAAGAGTTGACACAGTTGTTCTGTGGAAAGTGTGGTCCTGCTGCTCAGAGTGGTGTCTGATTTTAATCTTAAACTGACCACCTCTACTGCATCATCAACAGGAATGCATGTAAAGAGTGATGTGACATCAAAAGTTTTTTCAAGTCATCAAAGTGGTTTTGGTTGTCAGCAGCAAAACTGGTTGATCCACTCTGAGAAGGTGCTATTTAAGAGACTGAGCTGAATACAGCTCCTCAGACTGAGGAAGTCCTCAGGATGAGAGACGAAACGTATCTATATTTTTTGCTTTGTTTTGTTTTTGTTGAATGTCCAGAGGACCAGATTGAACTTTTTTGGATTTTTCTACCTGGATTATTGAGCATGCATCAGGGTAACAAAAACATCTAGATCATAAGGCGGTGTAGAAACCTGAAAACAGGAACATCTGCAGGAACTTATCAGACGTTTGAAGCCACTTAGAGAGGTCAAAAATTTGAGAGCTTCAGATCTTTTTACAAGATATTCCAGGAAACAGGAGCGGAGTAGAGAGGAGCCAGTTGAGGTGGCTCGGGCATCTGGTTAGGATGCCTCCTGGACGCATCCCTTGTGAGGTGTTCCGGACACGTCCCACCGGGAGGAGACCCAGAGGAAGACCCAGGACACACTGGAGGGACTATGTTTCTCAGCTGGCCTGGGAACGCCTCGGGATTCCCCTGGAGAAGCTGGACCAAGTGGTTGGGGAGAGGGAAGTCTGGGCCTCCCTACTTAAGCTGCTACCTCCGCGACCCAACCCCAGATAAGCAGAAGAAAATGGATGGATGGATGGAGGAGCGGAGTAGGAGAAGGTCCTTTTGTCTAGTTCAGTCCTCACTGAGGGGACACTGCAGGTAATGATGTCCTGAGAGCGCACGCTGTAGCTGCACTCACACAGAGACATGTAGGAGGAGATGTATGAAGGCAGCAGACCAAAAATGAGGTGAATGTGGTGAGGGGTGGCACAGGTACAGACCAAGCAGCTGGGGAGGAGGAGGAGGTCCAGAACAGAACCAGACCTGGTTTTACTGCAGGGGCCCCTGAGGGTCTCGTCCTCTGAGCTCAGGTTCTTCAGATTCTTCTAATCTGTGGATCAGATTATGAACTGGAGATAAGATAAGATATAACTTTACTGATAATGGAGATTAAAGTCTTTATTCAGGAACTTTATTGTGAAAGAGTTCCTCTAGTTTTAGACAGACTGTCTGTTCTTGTTGTCTGTGCTTCTTCTGTTCTGTCTGGATCAGGTCTCTCTTCTAAACGAGTCCCTGAGGCTCAATGAGACCAGCCTCTAGAAATAAAGGTTGAGTGCATGAAAAGACTGCTGAACCTGTGTCCATCTTTACTTTTCAAGTCTCTGTCCCCGGTCCTCTGATGGACCTGCTGATCGTTAACCTCATCAGTGACCACATGTTCCTCCTGGTTCTGATCCGGACCACTTCCTCTCAGGCTTTTGTTGCTCAGCTTGTGTTGCTGAACCTCAGAATCAGGTTTAGTCTAAACATGGGTCAGTTTCTGTTCTCTTTGTTCTGTTGTGTGTTTATCATTTATTCTGTTTTTATATTTTACGTCTGAACATTTTTGGATTAAAGTTTGGAGTTCTTCGTGTTTTTCTTCTGGATGAGGTGTGAGGCTGCTCTGCTGCCCCTTGCTGGCAGCTGTGTGTGGTTTCATGGTGCTCCTGTTAATTTGGTGTTTGTGAGAAGCCACAGAATTAATCTTCTGCTCTTTCTTCTTGCAGGGAGCTCAGCTCCTCACAGCAGCTAAAGGACTCTCCAATCTGAAGGTAACTCACCAGATTAAAGTCTAATCTGTTCATCATTCACAGTGATAACCCGTCTGACAATCATGAACTCTCAGAGCTCGTTGATGAATCTGAACGTTAGAGCTCCGTTAGAAGGCCCTGTCTCATTTTGTGATTCTTCTTCTTGTCAACTCGTTTCAGGGAGGAGCTGAAGCCAGAAGCCTTACACCCAAACAGTGTCTCATAATCGGTGCCGGGCTGGAGAACATCAAGGTGGGGGACATCTGCAGATTGTCTTCTTTCAGGTGGACGCCTGGAAGGAAACGTCAGCTGCAACTAAATGTTGTGTCGGAAATAAAACGTAATGATAATATTGTAACAACAACATCAATAATTCTTTCAGCTTTTCTCTCTTCAGATGTCTCCACAGCAAGTCCTCCTCCATCTCACTCTGTCCTCTGTGTCCTCTGTCCTCACTCCAACTACCTCCATGTCCTCTCTAACTGCATCCATATGTCTCCTCTTTGTCTTTTTCCTGCAGCTGCATTTCTAACATCCTTCTACCAATATACCCACTGTCCCTCCTCTGGACATGTCCAAACCACTGTCCCTCCTCTGGACAT